CATTTATCATTTCATAGGCATGTCTTATTACAACCATGCACATTCATCATTTTATAATAGAGCATGCAATCGTTTCATAATAAAGCATGTCTCATTATCATGCATTTATTTCATAACAAAGTATGCTTCATTATCATGCATTCATTCCATAATAGAGCAAGCATTCATTTCATAACAGAGCATGTCTCATTATCATGCATTCATTTTATAGTAGAACATGCATTCATTTCATAACATAGCATGAATTCATTACATAACAGAGCATATCTCATTATCATGCATTCATTTTATAACAGAACCGACATTCATTTCATAACAGAGCATCCATTCATTTCATAACAGAGCATGTCCCATTATCAGGCATACATTTCTCATTAGCAGCAGATTACCATGCTCACATATCCTAAAAAGAGCATGTTACACATATACTCACATGAAACATCAACATGTTCAAAGCATGCTATGCATATGATCATATCATCATGCTTCTTAGCTCAAGAGGCATCATCATGTTAATATCATACAATATACCAATACATTTGACATCATTATGCCATATTATCATGCTCATTAGTTCAAGAGACATCACAACATCATATTTCTGGTCTTTAAATACGAATACAGCCCACCTTTAAAGGTATATCATGAAGTTCAAAAATCATTTGGACCTGAAACCACTTTTATGACAATCGAGACTCATGAAAACACAACTTTCATAAAGGGGACAACCTCAAATATTCGTCTAAAATTTGTCAAACTTTTTGATGTTCTTGAATGAAGTTCATGTTTTCACATTAGAAAATCCAGGGTGACACCCTCATAGAAAAACGATCATAACTTTCAAATCACAAGAAATTTCATCATGATTTCAAAACCATTTTTAAATAGATTCGTTTATCTATTATTTAGAAGTGGTTTGACCTCATTCTAGTATTTTGTTCATTGAAAAGCTCCACATAAAAAACACGTTAAATCCTTGAAATTTTATTTCATAAATTTGGCATGCTTCAATAAATGGTTAAGAGCTCCCTAATCAAACGAGATATTAACAAACGTCTTTTCCATGAAAAAATAGATTCAATGGACTATTTGCCCACCAAACATCATGATCTAAGGATATATTTAAGATACTCAAAGGATCTCTCAAACATATGCCACATTTCTAGAAATCAGAACACATTTTACAGGAATTTCAGTAACACACACCCACACTCACATTCATACCCATATTCATACTTGAGTTCTATACTTTGATTAGGTAATGAAACATGCATTAACATAAGCATGAAGATATAGAAACTAGATCCAATTACCTACACCAATCGAAACTCCAAAGGGTTCCACTCGCTTCACCTCGAATGCCAAGCTCCACAAGGATTGGGTTCAAGCTCAAGGGACAAGGCTTGGAGAGGTTTCAAAGGCTCAAGGGAGGAGAAGGAGAACATGGGTGGAAGAGGGCAGTGAGGAGAGAGAGAGAGAGATAAAACCAATGTGATGGGTGAGAAAGGAGTATAAATAAGCATGAATGGTAGCAGCATGCAATTGCCACACGACGCACAAGTGGGCATGCATGAGGAGAGAGAGGGAGCAAGCATGGGAGATATGATGATGGGATGGAAGCATGTATGTGCCATATAACACTCATGCATGGAGAGAGAAAGCAAGCATGAGAGAGAAGCAGTATCCCTAGACCACCATACACCACCCACGCCCAGCGGTGCTCTCATCTACCCATGCTCTCAACGCGCGTCCAGCCATCTGCGCTCACCAGCATGCTCATCTGTACATGCGTCCAGCCATCCGTGCTAGCCAGCACGCTCATCCATCTGCACTCAACGGCGCAATATCCATCCTTGCTCAACTGCGCAATATCCATCCGTGCTCAACGACGCAATATTCATCTGCACTCAACAGCGCAATATCCATTTGTGCCATCACCTCGTTGGCGCACTACAATTACTCCAAAAAAGTCTCGCCCTTTACATCATTGATTTCTTTAGTATGCAACTAGATCAGGCTATATTACAGGGATTGATACCCAGAATCTTCTCCTCTAGGTGTGACTATAGGAATTCTCACTTATTTAATGCTGACGATGCTGTAATTTTCTGTGGGGCATGTTATGCATCTTCTACTGCTATAAAGTCAATTATCGCCAATTGAGAAAGCTACTGGTCAGATGTTGAACTCTACGAAAGGCAAGGTTTTCTTCTTCGGGGTTCCACAAGGCAGTCGAGCACGAATCTTGAGAAAGTTGGGGTTCAGTGAGGGCTCCTTGTTGGTTCGTTATTTGGGGCTACCTCTGTTTCATGGCCATCTTCGACACATTATTGTCAGAACTTGGTTGGAAAGGTGATCGGCAAGATATGTACATGGCAAGCCTTATGTTTATCTTATGTAAGACGTCTCCAATTGTTTAAGTTAGTTGTAAGTGCTTATGCTATTTTTTTGATATTATATTTTATGCTGCCAAAGAAAACCTATAACATGATAGAGAGCCTGCATTGGAACTTTCTGTTGACAGAAGTTGTAGAAAATAAAGGAGTTCATCTTGGTAAATGGAAGAGAGTCTGCCTCCCTCAAGAGGAGAGAGGCCTAGGAGTGAGCAAGATGATAGACTTCAATATTGCAGGTATGATAAACTGATATGGAGGATTTTAGCAAATTCATATTCTTTAGTTGCCCATTTCTTCAAATACAGGTATTTTAGAATATGTTCGATTTGGGACTCTGTAGCCACGAGGGGTTGTTCTCATGCTTGGAAGGGCATTCATGTCGGTTTATCTCAACTAAGGAATAATGTCCAGTGGTGCCTTGGTAATGGTCAGATGATGGATTTCTTGAATGATCCTTGCTTATCAGTGCAGTCAATTTGGGATTCTTTGGATGCAAATAGATAGATGGATTTGGGGGAATTTGGAGGGCGAGAGGTTTCAGAGTTTATTGATGGTGACCCTTAATCATGGAATCTACCCTCACCTCCTTCAACTTTATTGAATAGCATATGGGGAGATGTGGAGCGATATACCCTTCCCTTATATCCTAGGGATGATTAATTGGAATGGATTCATTTTGCCAATGGAACTTTCTCAATCAAATCAGCATGGAGTTTCATTCAGTATAAATGCTCACCCCAGCCCTTATTTCATGTTTTTTGGTCTTCGAAATGTCACCACGGGCTAAGTGCTTTTCATAGCTAGTAGCTATGCATAATCGGTTACCGAATTCATCCGTATTTCAACAGCGAGGTATTCACATGGTTACTATATGGCCATTTTGTAGAAACAATGAGGACAATCTATGTCACCTCTTGTTTCACTGATTGGTGATCTTTAGCTCCATGGTGTTGCAAGAGATTTGTGCCTAGTACTACGGCCCTGAATATTCTTCGTTGGTGGCTAGCTTTCAAATTCATATCACAGGGGTTACTCAACATCTGGATAGGTGTCTTTTACACAACAATCTGATATTTGTGGGAGGAGAGGAACAAACGATTCTTTAGATCTAATGCACTAAGGAGAGAGCAGGTTGTAATCCGAATTACTTCACATCTCAAGGCTCTAGCAAAAGTTAAAAAATGGGCATTCCAATTGTCAGAAAAGGCAGTTATTAAAATTTACAGATTAATTGGCATCAACAAAATCCAAAATCCTCGATCCCAATTGCATGATCATTTTCAGAAGCTCAGTGTTATAAGTTGAATATTGATAGTGCGTCCTTAGACAATCTTGGTTTGGCAGGAGGGGGTGGGGTCATAAGAGGCAGTAATGGTAGATTTGTGGCAGCGTTTGCTAAACACTTTAGAGTTGCATCGAATAATTATGTAGAATTCTAAGCTCTTGAAGAAGGTACTCTCTTAGTTATCTAGATAGGGTGCTTCTCGATATAGATAGAAAGTGATTCATCTCTGCTAGTAGATACTATTCAAAATCGTTGTAGTGCTCCATAAAATTACGAACGTTAGTTGACAACTACCATTCAAGGCTCTCGCCCCATATGTGCTCCATTGCTTGTCTTTTGAAAGGCAAACATGGTAGTGGATGCCCCAGCTAAGAGAGCATCAACTAATGCAATCACAACAATTTGATATCATCGACCGCTAGACTTCATTTCTCTACTATTATTACATGACTTGGCGCAACTGCCCTACTATACGGTTGTAAAATAATGTATTCTTTTTTTTTCTTTTAATGAAAAATTTAAGTAGGAGGCCTTCTCCCCCACCGAATTAACCGAAAAAAAATTCCATAACCCGATACATATCAACCTGTTGAACTTTTTCAAACATTGGGACGAGGAAATCAGTCTGCGGGGTAGAAAGCTCGTCATAAAGGATCATTTCCCTTTAACATTAAGAAAAGATTCAAACAAACACCTAAGCTGGAATGCAGATCAAATTTCCAACAAAAAAAAGTGGTATCGGCTATTGCAACCAATCACTTTCATACATATTGACTAAAATTCATCTTTAGATAAGTTAGCTTGGTATGGATTAGGGGTACAAACTTTAGTTCAAGCCGTCATATACAAGTTCAGAGCACTATGCAATTTTAGTGTGAAAATTCTTTAGGATGGCGCAAAAATCTATTTTCATCTCTAATTATAAAATTTTAAACCCCAAAATAGTTCAAATTAGACAAATCCATAAACGCATAAAAATCTTGAAAATAGACGATCCGAATAATATGTTGCAAGATGTGTCATTTTTGGGACTTGAAATCTTTCTTTTCTCCATATTCATACATCTCGATGTTAAGATAATCAGTTAGATATTTTTCCAACATCAAAACCATCTTATGAGATTTTTGAGGTGCACCTTAATTCTACATGTTAAAGTGTCACCCATCAGGAGACAAAAGAAAAAAAAGGGGGACGAAGTGTGCGAAACATACGTACATGGCAAAAGAAATACCATGGCAATGAAATGAACTATTTCACAAACCTAATATTAGGCAAACAAATCGTGAAAGGCTACATCATAAGAAAATAAGACTGAAAGATCAGCAAACACGAAACTTTAAACCATATATAAAGGACCACCAATCTCTGAGCGAAATAGAATGAAGTTCAGCAATCAAATAAAGAGGGAACTACAGATGACACTTGGATTAACAACCTTCACCGTTCCTTGAGCAGGAAGCATATAACATCTGTGTGTGGTGCTTATGCAGAAGTGAATGAAAGAAATCGACCTTTTATTATAATAAACCGAGAAACTCAGGATTCCTAGAGAGCAAAAACTTTCCATGGTTCCAACAAATCAAAAAGAGAGTTCAAAGAGCTACTTCAGAAAACTCGTATCCAAGTTTAACCCAGTTTGTGTGCTTATCGTTAATCCAAATTGGCATGCCTACTACGCATCCGCCACACTATGAATCTTCAAACAAAGGAAACTTACACCTCATTCAAAGAAAAGATCTCACAACTCCTCAGCCAGTACCAAATACAGCTCCATATTTATTCTGTGGCGTCTGACTGTGCTGAAGTTTTGACTTCCTTCAATTTTTCGAGTTCAGATATACGTCCATCAAGGGACTCATAAAAGGCCCTCACCTGAAAGCTATCAGTTAGTGTCATACTTGTCTGCCTCAATTTAATGGATCCATTGGGTGGGGTTTAAACAGAAACTCATATACTTTAAAAAAGCAAACACGCCATGAAATTTGAAGGATCAAAACAAATATATTTCACTCTTCGAAAATTTCAGGAGTCACCAACTAGCTTTTTATAAAAACTTAACAGTGTGCTGCATCCCAAGAATTATAGGCATAGATGAGTGTTCCACAATCATACATATTCATAGAATAAAAACCTTCCATAAATAAAGTTTCAAAAAAAAAAGAAAAATGAAATATTTCCACTAAATAACGTGTCAACATCTTTACAGGTATACACCAAATATATATAATATGGAATGGCCAAAATATTAGTCATATTCATGGTACAAGACTTGCACAACAAGGTAGAGGTGGGGGAAACAGTAGTGTGAATAAATTGGTGGGAGAGTGCATTATAGCAGGTGTTAAAATGGTTGTTTCAGGCAGAAATACAGAAAACTGATAAAGATGATACGCAGGAGACTATTGGAATTGTAAGTTGGGGGGAAGGAAGACATAAAAACAAAGGGCCACAAGGGGGAGGCTAGAGGCCTCCAGACTGATAACACCATGTGAAAATAAAGAGCAAGAGAAAAAAAGAGTTTATTTTCATTCCCAGGAGAGGGATTTTGGGATGGACAAGGATTATTTCAGAGTGGCCTCCAAAAGGGTGGGCGACAGGCTGGAGAAGTAACCTAGGAAGAGCTCCATGATGGTGGTTAGAGTGGATCTATCCCTGGGAGCTTATGCTTTGTGCATGGGATGCAGAGTAATGTCTTATCAAGCGGTCACTTACTACATGATGCATTGCTGAATCCTACACGTTTCAAGGGAGTCCTTTAGTTGAAAGGAGAGGAGGCTGGCCCCTTGGGAATATTTCAGCAGTGTTATCACCACTAAGATCAGAGTCTCTAGCATCCTATGCTTTAGGTAACACTTCTGTATTCTGATAAGGGTAGCCCATAAGCTGGAAAGGCAGTCTTGACTCTCAATATGTATGATGAGCGGCAAGGGATCTAAACTCACATGGTCAGGTGGGAGGAAAGTATTCAGGCTGAAGGAGTGGGGCAAGATGGAGATCAAAGGCTGACTAAAGTTAACAGGAAGAGTAAGGAACGTGGCATCAGGATTTCTGGAGTGAGAATCTGGGGAATAAGTTCCATTTAAACTAGGACCCTGGAACCAGGCAGGGCCCAGGTCCAAGTCAGTGAATCAGAACAGGCCGACTCACCAAGAAACTTGAGCATAGTTAACTGTTGAGTTCCTTTATACAAATTTCCTGCTGCTGTCAGTACAAGAAAACTGTGAAGCATGGATCATATATGACTAATTCCATTAGGAAACACCAGAAAAAAAGAAGAAGTAAAGAACAGAAGAATCCATGATACCATTTCTAATAGCTTTCACTTACTTGTTGCAAAAAGGTATATACTAAGATGGTCAGATACGGTTACAGATACGCACTGGGGAAGAACAGGCTCTCTGAAAAGGTGAGAAAAAAAAAACATCACCACTTTGAGTCTAAAAAAAAAATTCAACTTCACCACCACCATAAACAGGGTCCAATCTCCTAAACTCTCTCAGGCTTAGGAATAAGAATCACCCTTCTATTACCAGATCATTTACCTATTCATTCGGGAGCGAAAAATAAAAATGAGAGAGAGAGAGAGAGAGATAAAAATCAGAGAGAGAGAAAAGAACTGTGTTCCGAAACACTTACAATTGACAGTCCAAAAATAGGACGGTCACCATTCAATCTTAGGAAGTTATTTTTCTCAAGCACACAAAAATTGCGTATGAACTTCTATTTTTTATTGTCTTTGAAGTTGGTTGCTAGGTTGAGGAGGTTACATACCCAAAATTTGAAGTCCTAAAAATACACAGATCGGGTTTTGCCAGTGGAGTGAATGGATGATATACTCTTGTAGGAGCATATAATGTTTTTGGCTTCATTTAGAACTTGAGGAATTGAATAGAAACATCCAAGACATGTCCCTTCAAGATTTTCTGGTTCTGTATAACACAAAAGAAAATAAACTCAATCCCAGGATATGATTCTTAACAAGACGTCAAGACCCAGGAATGCTTCTTTACTTGTTCCTCCGCAAAGGTTCTTTCAGATATAAAGCCGTGGCAAACCCTTTTTCTTGTTTGGGATGGAGCAAAGGAGGCATGATGTGATGGTAGTCTAAATACAACTTTCTGATGTATTGTGCATTGGAACAGAGTATTTTTTAAAAAACATGGGAAATATCCAAGCCAAGTTAAACTTGATGTCATGTCACGTACATAGAATACACAAACAATCAAAATTATTCAAGGATTGGATAAGTTGCTCTTCAAAAGTCTTGGAGCCCTGTCATCGACCTAGTGCTATCCAAGATCACGACCATATTCACAAAGCACCCCTCACCTAGTTGGGTTTTAAAGTTGAAGTTTGATTGAGCCAAAAAAATCTAAGGCTTCTAATATTTCATGGGCAACATCTAAAATATGAGTGATTTCATACTTAGTGCCACATTAAATCTCTACATATACAGCATTAAATGCATCTTCAGTAGGGGAATGAATCTTCACTAGTAGTAAGGATTACTAAGAGCTGCTGCAAAAAAGTCTCTTGATGACTTAAAGGGACTCTCTATTACAAACCCATAGATATTGGGGTAATCTTGTCAAAACGATGGACTTGCCATTGAACTTACGTGCGATGCATTTTATTCATATATCAAGGGGGCACGATCCTTGTGTGGCAGATAGGTTAGCATAGATTCATAGGAAAACCTATGAAGAACTAGGGCATGAGGCATTAAATGCAACCTTTAGAGTTTTTTTTATCTCTTTAGGACTTAGCCTCTAATTTTTCCATTTTATGAACCTGTAAGTAACAATCTATTAAATGTTGCACCATTAAAGCATTAACTGCATTGTTTAAAATCTACTAAAAAAGCCCATTGCGCGCTATCATTCTTAATAGGTGTTCCAAAATATCCCTCCCAAGTGAGGAAGCCGTACCACCTACGCACTCTTAACAATGGGTGCTGCCTGAGTACAAGGAAATGGATCCAAAAACTAAAACAATTTGTATTTTACATAAAAGGTGTCCAGGCAGGTTACCCCTATTAAGTGACCCACACTATTAGCGGTCATGGTAGAAGTGGTCACTCCATGCGAACAAGTGAAGAAAGATAGCTAATCCAAAAGGCACTAGGGTATGCATGTCATAACCCAATACTTAATGGCAAAGGTGCAATGATACATTGAATGGAAGTATTTACTTTCACCATAGAAATAAAAACTTCAGAACCTAATCAAACCTTAGAATCCAGGCCCTCCAGGTCCTTTCGAAGACTCATATTTCCAACGGGTGCTAACTTTGAGGCAACCATCAGAGAACATCCTTTCAAAATTTGTGGCATATCCCACAAAAAATATGGAGTCAAAACCATAGAAGTAACTGACACGTAAGATGCTCACAAGTCAAGGTTAAATTGTCAATAGCTAACAATAGAACATCCAACATCCAACTGCATGCTGATCCATTTAAAAACCCACAAACTAGGAATTAAATCTCAATCAGATCCTTCAAAAAGAAAAGACATGCTCTCACCAAGACTCCCAAAGGATTCTAGCATCAGCACAAACCTATCATTTAGGTGAATAGAATGATAATTTCACCTTGCAATCTTGCAAAAGTATCCTACAGCAGAGGTTAATGACAAGCCACTACATCATATTTCACAAGCAACCTCTAAGCAACATCGTTCACAAATTTGATGCAGGAGCAACATTTTTAATTATTTTTAGTCATTTAATTTTACGGACCTGTTTGAATTTTTATTTATTTATATTGTTTATCGTTTGGATTTTGATTCTTTTTTTACTATGGATCAGAAAAATAAAAATCTTTCTTTTCCTTGCCATTAATTTTAGGAGTTCTATTTTGATGAGAGTTGTTAGCTAGTTGGAAAAGAAAATAGGAGATAAAAAAAATAAAAATAAAAAAGAATAAAAAATCATGAAGCATAATTGTTTTTAGTTTCAGCTGGATTCGTCTTTCCAAATGGATGAGTATGAGTAGGGGATCCATGGATGAAGATAGAATCATGAAGCATAATTGTTTTTTGTTTCAGCTGGATTCGTCTTTCCAATTGGATGAGTATGAGTAAGGGATATATGGATGAAGATACAAAATCTAATTCTAGTCGTGACTAAATTTTCAATTTTTGTAAAAGAAAGATTAAAGGAAAATAGCATACATTTCTTATGCGCCCATAGGTGCAATATTGGATTTGAATCAGATTTCGCATATCTATATTAATTGACTGCCTCCATTATGTTGTTGCTAACAAATACCACTTACCCAAAAAAAAGCAAATACCACTATTTTTGGATCTTCCGAACCATTCTTGCACGAGATCCAGACCGATTTTGTTTTGATCCTTCAATAAAAAGATTCATTCTCTTCATAAAAAATATGAGGTAGAACCAATAAAGATTTATTTTTCGATTCAATCCTGGAGTTGAATACCTCATTCATGATTTTTTTTTTTTCCAATCCGTAGGAATCAATAGAAAAGGCATTTAGGGTGTTCACAGAGATTGGAGACATTTTAAATAATAGAATTTTGACTATCATTAATTCACAGTTCTTGCAAAATTAGTGGTACCCATGAGGCTTGGCTTGTAAGCTTCCTCTCAATTCTGGTCAATACAATAGAGTTCTTGATTTTTTTCTTTGAGAAATTTTCCACGGCATCAACTGGTATCAGAGCAGGTTGCCTCAGAAAGCGCCCTAGGCAGTGCAAGTTTTTACAATGGCAGCTAAAGGAGTTCGAGCAGGCCAAGTTAGTGGTGTGACAAAGTTATACAATAGGAGCTCAACATTCTGAGAAGGAGCATTGAGGAATTGACATATCAGGCACTTCAAAAATGTTCGAACCAAATAAGCGAGAACTGGTGTGCAAGACACAACCCACTTTGATTGACGTTTCAGTCGTTCATGACAAAGGTGGATCTGAATCCAATAGTAGAGATAGGTCAAATATAGTGGATCGTAATCTACCTCACAAATAGGGGAGAGAATCTCGCTTTGTCTAAGGATGCTTTGATTTGTGATCTTGATGAACTCATCAAATCGCTACCAAAATCACCAAGTCACAGATTGGGCCTCGCCACCAATCTTTGACGAGTGCCCAAATGAAGAAGTTGGAAATCCTACCCATGATAAAGAACACGATGCAGGTGATGATGAGGACAAGGCACAAAGGAACTTCTTGTTTGGTTAGGACTCTTAAAGTTGCAGAGCACACTGGTTTAGATCACTGGAATCTGGGTGGCATAGAGGACGAGTGGCGGATCCATAGCCCAATAATTGTGGCCTGAGATTCAGAAGTTTCTAAAGTTGCAAAGAAAGAGAATTCTACAGGTTTGGAGCACTGGAATATTGGTGGCATTGAGGAAGAGTGGTGGATCCACAACCCAATAATTGTGTGCAAACTTTTTGCCCCGCTGGTTTTCTTTTGTGTGCTTTTCCTTTTTATGGCTTTTTTTTTGTTGGGGGGGGGTTGGGTTGGGGGTGGTTTGGCCTATATCCATGTCCTTGTGGGTTTCTGAAGGTCCTAGCACTACACTCCTTCCAGATACCCCACTGAAGGAAAAGGATGGAAATGCCCCAAATAGTGCCGTCGAGCTTGGTAGAAGGAGGGGTGATCCAAACTATAAACAGTTGCTTGATGGATTCTGGGGTAGGCCATTGCAAACAGAACAGCTGTAGAAAGGAAGCCCAAGAGATGAGGCAAAATTACAGTGGAAGAAAAGATGGTCAATAATTTCCTCCACTGTGTAGCACGACACTGCAGTTCGCCAACTCTAATCCTATCCTCTAGAGTTCGTCCCCTGTCAATGCCCTTCCATGGGTCAGAATCAAAGCAAAGGCTTGGACCTTGTGAGGCACCTGCAAGTGTCAAACTTCGAGAAATTGATTCTATGTGCCTACTTTGAATCTGACCAAGGCTCGGAAGTCTTGGCCACACTTAGCTATGCACTTCCAAGCCCCCAAGGCCCAATGCCATGGGAATTTTCATAGCCACCCATCCATTTCAGAGCCATATTTGGCTGATATGGCGTCTTTCCATGGTTATGAATCGTTGGAAGCGAATGACCATTTCCACTTCCTTGACAGTGCCAAATTGTTCCATTTGAGCCTCCTAATACCAAGGCGTCTGTTAGTTAGGGTAACAAACCTTATCCCAGGCTAAGATCCACCTATGGCTTCCCACACCATGGACAAAAGGAAGGTCAGAACCAGTCTTTCAAGAAAGGAGACAACTGATGCTTGCATCTAGAACAACGGCATATTGAAAATATTGGACATGTCAACTTTCATCCTTGTGGCTATCTCAAAACTCCTGACGAAAAGCCAAAGATTATCAATTTGATTGCGGCAGGCATTGCAGAAGATGAGGGTATTGCCCGCATAAAGAAGGTTATTAATTAAAGGACGTCTCTAGAAACCTGGAAACCCTTAAGACATCCTCTCTCGTAAAGACTAGCCATGGATTTAGATAAGAGTTCTCCCATGATGGCAAAGAAGAAGGGGGAGAGAGGGTTTCCTTGTGGAAGACCCCTTAAGGCTTGGAAAAAAACCTTAGAAAAGCTGGGATTAGAGATGCAACCATGGATATAACTCCTCCACTTCGTACCGAAACCCATTTTTGACTGGATGACATCCAAAATTGACCAATCAACATGGTTGTACGCTTTTTCCCGGTCTAGGTTGATCACTACCCACTGTCTACCTGAGAGATGCCAGGAGTGGTACGCTCCATGAGCCAACAAGGCGTCGTCCAGAATCTGTTGGTCTAAGACAAAAGCAGAATACAACAGAGATGATTTTAGAAAGCACCTTATAAAGCACCTTCTTAAGCCTGGAGGCAAGTTTGGTGAGGATCTTGCAGGAAATTAGGAGGATTATCAGCCTGAAGTTTCACCACACCTTCAATTTTGGGTATAAAGGGTTAAGAAAAGTGGCATTCATGCCTTTGTGGACCCTTCCTCTGTGAAAGAACTCCTGGAAAAAGCTGGCAACCATGATGTACCAGAATCAGTGGAAGATGGCTATAGGAAAGCCGTCAAGCCCAAGGGACTTGTCCTTAGCTTGGTCTTTGACAGCTCTCCTAATCTTCGAATCTGAAAAAGGCGTTACTACTCAAGCAGAATCTTGCTGGGGGAGCGTATCAAACAGAAGGTCTGACAACCGAGGTCTAGACTCTCAGTTTTCGAGAGGTTTCAGAAGTAGCAAACAATTATCCTATTGATGTGTTGGGGAGTAGTGGAAGTATGCTCACACATTATTAATTGTGATAGAGTTGGCTTCTCTCCTGGAACTGTTCGATTTATGGAAAAAAGCAGTGTCTCTATTCCCATGCTTCAACCAGTTCACTCGGGACCTCTGGTACCAATGTATTTCTTCTTGCTTGGAGGCATTACAGAGAACAGCTTGAGCAACCTCCCTTTTTTAATGCTTGGACTCCGAAAGGGGCCTGGATTCTTCAGCAGCATCCAGGTCCTTAATAACGAGGGCATAGAAATTGTATGACAAATTTCTATATGTTTTCCCTATTCTATGAAAATTGATTGAGAGAAGAATTGATTGGTTTAAGAGTTGCTACAAACTCTCCTAGGGAGACTCTTACATTTGTGCAATAACTGGCACAAATTCTTAAACGTGCATCATGAAACACAATACTGATTACCAAATCTGGCAAGTTACTGACAATCATGAGAAATGCATCACACATCGCTAAAGGAAAGGAATTCCATGATTATTTATAAGCGAAACATATCTAAAGATGCATAGAGAGAAGACAACCAAGAATATAAACTTAGAGGAAGGTCATCATCTCAAAGTACAAAGGAGAAAGATATATGATAGGGAGGAGTTGAAGGAAGAATTTAGATTAAGAAAATAAAGCAAAACTGAATACAGGTGAAATTGAGAAAACCAAATCACTTGCTATGAAATTCAAAGATTAACACTAGTAAAAGTCCAGGTTCTTCATGTTTCCAATAGAGACAGAAAAAGAGCATAAATAAGGAGGCCTTTAAAAAAATAGTGTGATGCTTATCCATGTTTACGGTTTTCGATGACTCAAAAGTTAGCATGAATCCATACATCACAAGTAAACTGTGTATGCATTTGTTGCATACACTTGTTTTTCAAGAGGCACCATTCTCAATGTTGTTCTATACATAGTTAATGGAGGGCTCAGGTCAAATAGGGAAGGATAGATGGATATTCAGCTCACTTTACAGAATGGAACATTCATACCCAACCCACAGAAACTGATGAATTTTCTGCCTACAATCGATACAACAATTCATATCCTATGTAAAGTAGTCATTCATGCATAACTCATCTTACCATAACCTGAAATGCATCATCATGGGTATTTCCTTTTTAAGGTTTCGAATTTCAATGAAGTGAAAATCAAAAGCATTCAATGCAAAACCCTAACCAGAAGGCGACTCATAACCATGATACAGATATCTGCATCCCATAAAAATTATGAAAAAAATTCAAACATAAATACCAAATATAATCAAACTCACTGGGCACAAAAACCTTTGCATAAATGCATTTTACAAAACCCAGTAATCAGGAATCCCCTTCTAATCATAATGAAGCAATGCATCATCAATAGGTTCAGGAAACATAAAGAAGGCAATCCAATTACAGCTTTGAGCATTTAAATACAAGCAATAGATCAGGAGAATCAGAAAATAGAGAAGAAAAAAACCCAAAAGGTTGGGGATTGAGATGATTAACAAAAGACCCCTGTCCTTCCAAAAATGAATGTAGCCAATAAAAAGCGGGAGAAATAGGTGGTACCTGTTTAGAAATGGTTTGATGGGCAATATGGTAATCCCTATGGAGAAAATAGAGACCCACCGCTGAGGCAGTAGCGGCGCCTGCAAAGAAGGATGCCAAGCGCACCCTCAATATGTAGCCTACACCCATCTCTCTCTCTCTACAGACCAACTTCAAGATTTTGCCTTTGCTTTATGAAGTTGCAGAGAGATAGACAAAATGGGTCTTGCTGATTGAGAGAGGGAGAGGCCGCAACACAACAGACTACCTGCAGCAAGGGCTGCCAAGTTGCTCTTTTGAGCGTCTCGCGTGTAGACATCGGACCACTCTTCCTAAGCGGACAGTAGCGTATTTTTCTTTTTTTTAAAAAGAAAATATCAGATATCTTTTTTTTTATTTGGTGATATTAAAAGAAGGGGAAATTATCATAAATATACTTTAATTTTTTTTATTGAAAAAAATCTTCAACTTTTATAAATCCATGCCCTTTTTTCTCATTTTTTGACTTTTTTTTTAACCAAAATAGCCTTTACAGTTAGTCTTGTTATCGTAATAACCATAAGCATTATGGAAGTATCGTAATGACCAGTGTTCACAAAATCGAACCGAAACGGTTAACTAGACATAGGTATGGAAGTAGTTTAACCGGCCTAACCAGTAAACTGGTCTATTCAACCGCTCTAACCGGATAAGTCTCGGGCAGTCAAAAAAGTATGGAAAAAAAATTAAAAAAAACTTCTAAAAGAGATGGAAAAATATAAAAGTGAGTATTAATGACCAAAACAATTTTTAATCTTTACCATAATGTAAAAAATATTTAAAAATGCGTTACATATCAAATTCCTTATTTTTGAGAATTTATATATTTTTTTTTATTTTATTTTTAAATACCAATTGATCACTCTAACCGCCCAAAATCGGAACCGACAACTGACCGGTTTCCGATCTAACCAAGCGGTTAGCGATTATATCGGGCAATTTTGCGAACAATGGTAATGACCAAGCTAAGATTACGGTACTTTAAAGACTGTAATGCTCATTGGGTGTTACAGTACATTGGGTGTTGTTATTCATAAGACATCTTATACGGCACTTAAAATGCAGCAAGGAGCCAAGACCAACAGCGTAAAAGGCATGTGGGATTGAAGGAGGCACCTCCCATGGCATCCCCCACCAATGTGAAAACCAAAAAAAGATGAAGAATAGCAACGCCCCTATAATATTTTCATGTCTATCTTATAAATTGGAAAGATATCCTTTCTTTTGACAAATAATTAGAAAGATATTCTTCTTATATTTCATCTCTCATTGCACAACTCTTTTCTTTCTATCTCTTCTTGGGGGATATATCTTTATACTAACTTTTATTGGGTGTGGTTTGTATAGAGCTTAGACTCTAAACAATCAAATTAGAGCCTACCTTCAAATAGTGTCAAAATGTGGTTTCAATATTGGAAATCTTTGTGATAGCCTTAAAATATATTTTAAACTTTATTTATAAAGTTTAAAGCTTCAAAAATAGTGTAGATCGATAGATCTATGACAAAGTTGAAAATCTTGAAAATTGACGGTCTAAAAATACGTTACAAAATACACTATTTCCAAAACTTGAAATCCATTTTTTTCTCATGTCCATGCATCTTGATATTGAGATGATCAATTTCAGGCATCAAAACAACCTCTTCTAGAGGTAGGCTCTAATTTGATTGTTTAAAGCCTTAGATCTATATTAAATTTTCCCTTTTTATTTATCTTCTATTTATCTTTTTTAAGTTTAGAAGATGTCTTTTTAAATCTTTCTTTCTCAAGATTTTAGGGATTTTAAAAAGAGTAATGATCCTATGAGACCCTCCTACACCCATGTGTGTAGGACCCCAAAAGATCACCATTAGATTTGGCACAGATCTCTAGAAAGTCAAGTCTCACACCCATATGATAACTTTTCTAGAGATTTGTGTCAAATTTAATGGTGATCCTTTGGGGTCCTACACACATAGGTGTGGGAAAGTCTCATATGATCATTACTCTTTTAAAAAAATGAAAACTCCCTCTCTCTCATATAACTCTCTCCCTCACATCCTTACATATCTCTCCCTATCTCTTAGGCATTATTTTAAAAACCACCTCCTATCCTATTTAAAAGGCACAAAAAGTTTTAGGGGTTTTTAAAAAAGAAAGTCCCTCTCCCTCTCTCTCACATAACTCTCTCTCATACACCCTTACATATCTTTCCCTACCTCTTAGGCATTATTTAAAAGGCACCAAAAAATTTAGGGGTTTTGAAAAGGAAAATCCTTCTCTCTCCTCCCACATAACACTCTCTCTTTATCTCTCTCACGCAATAAAGGAAATAAATATGCAGAAAATCCCCCAACGATTCTCTCTCTAGGTGTAGAGATAAAGATGATGAAGAGATGTTGTGATTCTAAATATAATGATACAAATTGAGAAGAAAATCATGGGTTTTCCCTGTGATGGATTCAGTCGCAATGTTTATCTGGTCACCTTCTCTATTCTTCCGCTTTCGAACAAGGGAAAAATATAATTACCGCGGATTCAATTGCAATGTTTATCTGGTCACCCTCCCTATTCTTCCACTTTCGAACAAGGGAAAAATATAATTATCGCGCTTTAAGTGTCGTAGTAGATGATCAATTAATCACGGTTCTTAGAGTACCATGATGCTAAAGACGACCTTCATGGTAATTCGACTACCGTGAATGTTATTTTAGTTCAAAAAAGCCCAAATTTGAGGAAAAAAGGTGTAGACGAGCATTACGAAAGTTTGGGGGTTTTTTCTAATTAGGTGAAAATTAGGGTATATTTCTGATAATTTCCCAAAAAGTTGTACTTCTTTGAAAATTTCATTCATACCCCATTCCGTTATCATTCACAAAATTTTTACGTAAAATACCCTTCATAGTTGTACCAGATCATGAACCTTTCAAGACAATGATGATAGTCATAAAACGTAGTGCAATCTCCCCTTGAGAGAGCGGGAGATACGTATGGACTATCACAATTCTCACATAACCATGATGAACCATCACGGTTCTTTAAACCATCTCATTTGTTTATGCAAACATGAGAGTGTGTCCCTAGTGTGGGGGACCACCCATGTGGACCACACTCTCTTCATGAGAGGGAGGTGGGGAGAGGTTGCACCTCTTCATGAGGGGGTTACCCTCCTATAAATGGTATGTACCATGCATTCTAATAGTGCCCATTCATGAGGAGATTACTCCCACATGAATGAGAGGGCCCTTTCTCTCACTATAAAAGGGGAGCAATAGACGTCTATAAACACACAACAATAACATACGAGAAAGGTGCGAGAGCTCCACTTGAGAGAGAGAGAGAGAGTATAATAATTCTCCCATTTGACTTTTGAGAGACCTGCCCCTAAGAGATGATGAGTTGTCAAGAGAGTCGAGCTTGGATTGCTCCTCATATATCGATATGCGGTGTGAAATCGATTTGTGCCTACGCGAGTTGATCATTCATCTCTAAATTTGTTCATTAAAACTCTTTTGCAAGCACTCATATATTGAGCTTGTTATTTTAACATTAGTATCAGAGCCATCGTGATATCGCGTTCTCGATTGTGCTTGCATTATTGTTCTCACCTTATTTGTTAAGGCTTGGCCATGATGTTACAAAGCATACATGTTATTAAGATCATGGGCAGGTGCACTATGTTACCTTATATAGCAACCACATAGTCATGCAGGCCTTATGCATTGAGGAGTTGTCAACTTTATTTATGGGATATGCAAGTTGATGCCTCTTAGACCATGAGCGTCATGGCTACCTGATTTTATAGGCATCACATTTTAAGCCATGCATGACAAGCCCTACTCATGTTTTTTTTGGTGTTTTAAGGCTGCATATATATATTTTTTTTTGTGGGAGTACATATAGGAAGGTGTCCTATTGCAAATTGTAAGGTATTTGAGATTCTATATCTAAGAAAGAAAACTTAGTATTATTGATTACAAGCAAGAGCTTCATGTGAACAAGCAAACTTTTCATATCATGACTTTTAAGGATCAAGTGTTTCAAGTAACTAGACAATGAACAAGCGTAAAAATGATAATCTAAATGCAATCATAGATCAAGCAAACCATCAGAGCATATTAATAGGTGCACTTTTATTATTTTGACTTAGAATGACTTCTAAAAATGTGATCGTGAATCTCATTAAAGACAAATAATTAAGTGGGAGCAATTTTCCTATTTGGCATAGGAATACCTTCTAAATTAGCAACGTACTCTAGAACACCTAACTACCATTAAGCAAAAACTTGAATAAGGTGTCGTAGAGGAACTTCTCTATGAATATGCGGCATGGGACAATACTGACCATAACACTCATTTTACTTTGCTAAATGCTATGTTTGATGACCTCATTCATGAATTCAAGGGATTCACCATGGAGAAGCCCATGTGGGATACGCTTCAGCAGAAGTATACTGGCAATTCTACTGCTCGATTACGAGTCTTTGTTATGGCTTTTGAGACATACAAAATGCCTCCAAATGTGAATATAAGAAAAATGTCTCAAATGATACGTGACCTTGAAGACATATGCAGTCACGAGCAATAGATGCTTGAATTGCTTAGGTCTCTCATAGAATCTTGGGAAAATATCAAGTCACTAATGGTGGGTTCAGGACTTACTCGAGCTGGCTCGTATGGGCGCCCACTTTGATCACGAATAAAGCCCCCCAGTCGTAAAACGGGTCCGGAATCACCTCTCATGGCTTGCATTCTCCTGTTTTCTGCAATCACATACATATGGCAAAGGTTATAAGACAGGTGCGTCAACAGACCTCACCTTGCATATTTGGTGAACATACACAAGCGTGCACATTTATAAGAAGAAGAGAAGAATAAGAGAAGGAAGAAGGGGGAGAGAAGAATTTGACTACGTGGGGACATCAGCACAGTGACTAAGCTGGTAGGTAATTGGTCTGACGTGGCAGTAAAACAGGCTCAATAACTCAAACCAGCTCAACAAAGTTACTACTAAATGTCAACATCGATACTGACTAGCTAGACGCGATGGTTAGTCTGTCATGGCAATAAAGCGGATACAGTAATTTTGGCACAACAACTTTACGACTAGACGATAGGGCTACCATAAGAAGATAATCTCAACCCCTCTTAGTCAAACGAAAGGATAATAGAAGGCATAAAAATCATAAAGAGAGAATAAGAAGTAAGAAAATAAGAGGAGAAGAGAAAGAGAGGAAGGGAAAGAAAGAAGGAGAAGAGTGTAAAAGAAGAGAGAAAAAAGAAGAGAGGAGGGAGA